CTGTATATCAATAACTTCTCGTTCTAATAAATGAACTATTTCGTTTTTGGATTTCTGCAAGATTAAGTAAAAAGATGATGAAGAATTATGTTCTAAAATAGATAAAATAAAGCGATCTCCCTGAGAGGTAGCAGCAGCAGCTACATCGTGTTTCACATTTTAATTCCATATGGATTGCGCTAACAGTTTTTTTTTTAAATCTTATTTAAGACCTGTTGATACAGTTGCTTATTTTTCTGGTACACATGAAAAACGTGGTTTATCATTTGGTACACGTCAAATGATATTTAAGGAATTACTTAAAGAACGTGTTAAACGAAATATTCGTCTTAAATCTGATAAACAAGAAATGTTGGTTTCAGTTAAACGTCCAGTTGATTCAACGCCTAAACCGTTTGTTTCTTTTTTATTTTTTATTTATTGAAAAATAAAATTTTTATTGTACTAATAGAAAACCATCTCAAATTGATATGATTAAATTACAACCAAAGGTTATCACTCCAAATGAAACTAATGTAAATATTTATTTATAAATGTGAATTATGATAATAGATCTTTTTTTTTGTTTATGATCATCTAAGGTTACAAGAGATTTTTTTGCTAAATTTAAACTTGGTTCAAAAAATCAACAAATAACATCAAAATCATTCGATCAAGTTGATTCAACTAATAAACCAATTGAACGAAAAGCATTAATTTCATTTGCATACAATGAAGGTTTTTCGGATGCTATACGATGTAAAATTAAAATTCAAGATCTTCTCTAATTCTTTTCTTTTTTGTTGTCTGTGTTTGTTCTTATATGTAATGAATATTTTTGTGTTCTATTAACATTGGTAGTTAGATATGAGATTTTTTTTTTCTCTGTTTTCTTTTTTATTTCTCGAATAAGAAAGAAACAGAATAGAGAAAGAAAGAAATAAAGAGAAAAAAAAAACGAATAGCACACGATATAATCACCGCTGTATTTTGCCTGGATGGAGAATATAAATGAAACGGTATATGCATGAGTTTATTTATACGCTATATAAAGGCAATGACGAGAAATCTTCTTTCCCCGACTGATCATTTTGTGATGTCGCAAAGAATATGTATCACATCTGAGCCGATAAAAAAAAATGCCTTGAAGATTTTTTTTTTATCGAAGGTTTTAGTATGAAGAATAATTTAATGTTGGTTAAACTATTTATTTGTGACAAACATGAATTGAAAAGTCTATGTTTTCATTAGTGATAAAAAAAATTACAATATTAAATAAAAAGTAATTTTAGCATTATTATAATTCGAACAATGTATTTAATTTTGCCATTGATTTTTTTTAACTGTTACTCTATGTAATTGAATAAAATATGTGATAAGAATTTATTCAATAGAAAAAAAATAAAAAAAAAAAACTTAAAGATAATTTCCAAAAAGTAAATAAAATTCATCAAAGCATATACGATTAGAAAAAAATATTTATAGTCCTTATTTTAAATAAATCGTCATTATATAAACAAATTAAAAAAATATATACTCTTGAATTAATTGAAGTTTTCTATTAACCTGTAACGAACATCAGTTTGTCACTATTATCAAAATCAATTTTTAAAACTTTTCGTCACTTTAAAATTACCTTCTTTTTTTTATATCAAAGTAAGTATACAGCTTGAAATTCTTTATCATCCTATATATTTATCCATTGTTTTCATGTATTAGATGCATCAAATAAATAAATGCAATATAACTGAAATCTTTACGAAATGATAGAGAATATTATGCTCTATTGGAATATAAAATTATTCAATTCTTTTTCTTTTTCGAAGAAATGACAGAAGCCCCCAAGTACTTTCACAATATATAATTACTTATTTATAATTACGATATATTTAGTATACGGACTAAAATTTTTTTTTCGGGCGTATCATAAATGATTCCTTGATTTTATAACCTAGATAATAAAACCGTTAGAAATTTAAATAATAGACTATACAACTATTGTTTTCTCTCTATTCAACGGTCAAACAATATTGTTGTTTGTTCATTTCCATCTTTGTAATAGAAACGATTAATCCTATTTTAATTGCATCGAAATCATGTCTCAATCATCGATTTATAAACGACGTAATACTAAATGGCAAAAAAAATCATTAATTACATACGATTGTCCTATTTGTGTAACAACAAATACACGTCAACTTCTTGAATTACCATGTGGTCATAATGTAAAAAACAAAAAGAATAATTTAAAGAAAAAAAAACTTGTTTTTTTTTTTAAAAATAGTTATGTTTGTCATGTCTTCACATGATATGTGCTCATTCAACATTGGCCTGTCCATTTTGTCGTTGTCGTCTTTCAACATGGCTTCGTCGTAATCCTGATTATTCGAAATTAATTATTAAACGACAACCAACAACAAAAGCTAAAAAGAAATATATTGTTAAACAACAACAAAAACAACAACAACAACAAAAACAACAACAACAACAACAACAACAACAACAACAACAAGAACAGCAACACCAACAAGAACAGCAACACCAACAAGAACAACAACACCAACAAGAACAACAACACCAACAAGAACAACAAGAACAACGACAACAACAATCAAAACGTCCTTATCAATCATCAAAAATAAAACCAACATGTAAATAATAAATTTCTATCTTTTGAAATAAATAATTTTCGTTTTAATTATTTCTATAGTTGATGAACAAGGTAATATATCTGATGATTGGTTATTAGCTCATAAAATTCATCATGAACAACTTGAAGAAGTAAAAAAAAAGAAACTTTCTTTTGTTTATAATAAAGCAACAAAAAATTATTATCTTTTTTTTTTTTTATATTCTAGTTTCGATATACTTATGGTCGAATAACTCGATCAATGGCAAAAAAAATGAAAACATAATCATAGACGTTTTTTATGTTAATATATTCTTGTAGAATAGATTTTATCCATGTATACTTTTTTTGTTTCATTTATTGTGAATTGTATATTTTGCTAATTTATTTCTAACCATCATGATTTTGTTATTAAATAAAACATAGTGATAATGAATCTTTTATATTTTATGCTAACAAAGTAACTGTCAGAACTGTAATTTGTTTGTCGAACTCATATTGGATCTACACGAAATCTCAGTAGACCTAGAAAAATCTTGACTATTTTACTAAATTTTCAAGCAATTTTTATATATTTGCTAGAAAATTAAATAATAGAATTTCGTTCTGAAATTTAGCTCATAGATAAGTCTAATGAATCTTAGAATATCCCAAAAGTTTCAGCCGGAAAAAAATGTTCTTCTGCCGGAATATTGAATTTCTAAATAAACTCAATGTTTGTGGCAAGTAACCTCCATATCTTGACAAAGGAACATTCTTTTCGACCGATATTTTCAGAATATTTCAAGAATTATTATATCTATCTATGGAAAAAATTTCGTTATTTGATCCTTCAGTTAGTAACGAAAAATGGATTAAAAATTCAGCAAAATGATCATAACTCGACTTCACAGACCAATGGGCACAAATCCTTTTTATTTATTTCTAGTCTTATCAACACTTCTCTATGGGCTCAAACTACAAATGACAATTCAAATAGTTCTTTCGAAAATAAAATATTGATTATTAAAAACTAAAATTGGCGCATATAAGTTTTTTTTAAAATCTTTATTAATATTACAACTTTGAGTTTTGTTCAATTTATATATGTAAAACATGATGAACTGTAACAATTGGGGTAAGTAGAATATAAATAATTTTTTACGATAAAATTTTATATTAGACAAATGTACTGGTGTTCGATATCGACTAAGTTCAAGAATAAATAATGAATATAATCAATCAGCTATAATAGATAACTGCGGTACAAGGATTCCATTATGTATTGAAAAATCGTAAGTTTATTCAAATTCTTCTATAGATTCTAGTTGTTATTCTTGAAATTCTACAGTTTTTATCAATGTAAAAATGATGTTGGTCCAGATTATTCTATAGAAGTATGTGGTAATGGTTCAGTTCCAATAAAATTCTCAAGTTGTTTTGTAACAAATATGAATATAAATAATTCTATAAAATCAACATGTGATACTAAAATCAATTTGCCATGTTCGAAATCTATGGGTCCATATCGAAATCAGTTTGTAGGTAAATTTCTTAGAGTTTGTAAAAACAAAAAATTGTGTTGATCATAATCAAAAACTAAAGAATAATATTTAGGGATTATCAAAAATCTTTGACAATAAACGTAAATATATTGATTATATTGTTACAAATGTTCTTCGACAAGTTGTTAATCATATATCACTTGATTCTGTAATAATATTTTTATTTATATATACAATTATTTTATTATTATTTTTAATAGTTAAATCAACTATCTTGCTCTTTACCACAAAATATTGAACGAATTCTTTGTCATGTAGTATATTTTATTTTGTTTTATATATTTCTATACATTACTTCAGACTGATATTGATTCGGATCGTTTAATACGAATTCTTGTTACTGAAGTTCTTAAATGTTATTGTACGAATGTTGGACATCTTACCGATTGGTACGCATTTGCTAATTCAATTAAGGTTTATTAAATGAATTTCTACATTAAGACAAACAAGATTATTCTTATTTTACTATAGCCCTTTCTTTCATCAACAAATGTACTACAACATGATGATGATGATGATAATCAAAAAACCAATAACAATAAAAACCAAACATCATTAAAATTAACATCACCAATTGTTAAAAAAGAAAAACTGGCGGAAAATAGTATCTTTAGAGAAATAGTAACACCAGCAAAAGATGATAAAATTCCATTTATTAATCGAATATCTTCAACGGAAACAATATCTCATACGAATAGTATGACTCCCATGAGTATACAATCAAAAGAAACATTTATATCGCTTGGTGCTAAATATCAACAATCAAAAACAAAGCAAATACATCAAATAGTGTCTTTCGTGTCAACCTAATATTTGTCACTATTTTTTTTTATAGATCAAAACAAACCATGATGGTTGATAAAATTAAAAAGATTGACCATCATGAATCTCTTCCATTTCATAAAAAATCAACAAATCAATCTCAAATACAACATCAATTATCTTCAAATTCTTATCATTATGATGACAAATCTGTATATCAATATTTTTCTTATAATTTTGATTGAATATTATTTATTACAGGACAATAGTAGTAATCGATCATCATCTAGAGATTCGATGCGGCTAGCAATTCATCATAAACATAAACATAACAGTTTTTATAATCATCATACAACAACAAGCTTTAACACACCATCATCAACTTCATTATCATCTCACACGTTTGTTCCTAGCAGAAGACTCATTCAGAAATATAAACGAACATCGGTTAAAAATAATAGCTTAAATTCAACTGGTACAAAACAAATAGAATCGTTTGATAAAGCTGCTAAACATTATCATCAAACTAAGACTGATTCAGTTGAATTATCTCTGCATGATGCAGAAATATCATCTACAAATAATCAACATCAAATATCTTGTTTACAAAATGAAATGGAACCGAATAAACATTTGACTATAGATAATCACCAAGTATCATCATGGAAAGATTTTAACAAATCCAATATGTCATCGAGTAATGATCAAATTCGACTGAATACAAATTCGATATCGAAAAACATCAGAATCAATCATTATCCAAATATGTTGGCAGATTTTGACTAAATAAAATAAACACTCAAATCTGTTTTGCAAGTTATTTGAGAAATATTTCTATCGAGTTATTAATATTGTACGTGCTTTTCTCGCACAAATAGATATTATTATTTTACTTATAGCATGTGTCTACAAGATGACAATGAAAGAAAATGAATGCTAATATTATATTGAAATAAAACTACCGTCCAGCATGACTATCATTACTAGGCATAAGCTTCGGTGAATGTTAAACCTTGTGCAGCGTGAAATAACATTTTAGTAAAATAAATAGATTATTATTTATACGTATAAATTTATCAACATTAAGGTAAGAGAATGATTTCCTTCATTAATTGAACAATTTGAGAGAAAAGAAAACAAAATACGAACATATCAATAACACCGATAGAAAAATGAAAACATTCAAGTAAAGTTAATAATAATGCTATCTGGTCAAATATTTCGAATAATAATAATAGTGGCATATAAAACTTATTATTTTTAACAGCAGCGAAAATTTTTTTGTAATT